GCTCCGGAGGAAGAAGAGGTGGCAGGAGAGGGAGGGAGGGAGGGAGGGAGATACTGTGTTAGCTGGAAGAAAGGGCTTTCCCTCCTCCCTTCTCGGCAATAAAACTTTCTCTTTCTCCTTCTCTCTGTGTGTGTTCAGTAAACCCCAATTACGCCGGCGGGGAGCCCAAGCGCTCTCGGACCGCCTACACTCGCCAGCAGGTCTTGGAGCTGGAGAAGGAATTTCACTACAACCGCTACCTGACGCGGCGCCGGAGGGTGGAGATCGCCCACGCGCTCTGCCTCTCCGAGCGCCAGATCAAGATCTGGTTCCAGAACCGGCGCATGAAATGGAAAAAAGACCACAAGTTGCCCAACACCAAGATCCGCTCGGGTGGCACCGCAGGCGCAGCCGGAGGGCCCCCAGGCCGGCCCAATGGAGGCCCCCCCGCGCTCTAGTGCCCCCCACGCGGGAGTCGCGAACCTGGGGCGGGGGTGGGTGGCTAGCGCCGGGAATAGGCGGGAGAGATGCGGGAGGGGACCCTGGGGCTTTGGCCCGGAAAAGCCTACCTGCCCTCTCCCCCCCAAACACACACTTTATTTACACGAATAAACGCGGGGGGGGGGAAGCTTTATTTATAGAAATGACAATAGGAAGCCGGGCGAGGCCCCCCAGAAGCAAGGCTCAAGTCTCTTGCTTTCTTCCTTAAAAAAAAAAAAGAAGAAGAAGGAGGAAGGAAGAAAAAGACAGAAAGAGAAATAGGAGGCTGCACTGCTCGTTTTCAGCTTTGGCGAAGATGGATCCACGTTTCACCTTTAATCACGCCAGGCCCAGGCCCATCTGTCTTGTTTACTCTGCTAAGGAGAGGACGGGCCTCGGTGGCGACCATTACCTCGACACCCGGCTAACAAATGAGGCCCGGCTCGGCCGCCGCCGCCTCTGCTGCTGCCGCTGCTGGAAGACAGCCTGGATTTTCTTTCTTTGTCCCCCATTCCTGACACCCAGCGAAAGCACCCTCTGACTGCCAGATAGCGCAGTGTTTTGGCCACGGTAACCAACACACACGTACAACCTCCTCCCCCTCCGTGCCCCTTCGCGGGGACACTGACTGCTCATCCCCTTCCACTGTTGGGGCTGGGATTGGGGGGCAGCAGGAAGGGGACAAGTGGAGGCGCGGGCGGCTTTGGCAACGCAAGAGCGGGCAGGGAAATTGAGTCCAAGAAAAAAAAAGAGAGACCGGGAGACCCGGGATGGCCTTCTTCTGGAAGGTCAAGCCATTTCTGGCAGGGTGAGGGGCCAGTTGAGTTCTGAGCTGGGCACGATCCTCTCGCCAATCTAGACTTGTACACAGCGGAGACCTGCTCTCCTAGACTGAAGTTGAATGTGAAACTAGGAAATAAAATGTCGCGCCCCTCCCAGTCTGGGAGATAATGTTACAGAGACCTCTCCCATAGTTTTATCATTGTTGCATTGATTATTATTATTATTATTAATTATTATTATTATTTTATGTCATGTGCGTTCTATTTTCTTCCTGACATTCCAAACCAGGCCCCTTCCTAGTTCTGGGGCTGCCTGAGTCTAGAACCCTTCGTTGGCGTGAAAATTTGTGTCCTGTACAGAGTGACAATAGAAATAAATGTTTGGTTTCTTGTGACCAGCACAGCGTGTTTTTGTTGAAGCCTTGATCTAAAAATACAAATGCCACCCAGCCTGTATGTTAAGCACCCCAGTCCCATTCGGCCTCACATGTACGTGGTTGAGGGTTCCGATGGGAATTTCTATCTCTGAGGACTCCAAATTGTGGTAGTTGGTTTGTTTTCCTTTTGGGGTGGGTGTGTTCTGTCTGGGGCTTTAAATTTTTTCCCTCCAGTCCAAAAATGGATTGAAAGGACTGGGAGGGCTGACTCCAATCCCTAATGGGGGGGGGGACTGTTTCATTGTAGGACACAAGAGGCTTAAGTACGGCAAAGCCTTTCATATCGTGATTTATTTGTCATAAGCAAATAAAATGCGGTTAAGCTGTCTCCTTCTAGACAGACGGCTCTTTGCTTATTAAAGTTCCGAGAGAGGATTCCGAGAGGCCGGCCTCTTTCCTCCTGCGTAAGAAGGTATCGTTTTCCTCTGAGGTGTTTAAGGCTTTAATGAGTCTAATTTTTTGCACAGATGTTTCTGGGTGTTTGCAGGTTTTCAGAGTATTTTTATATTACAAAGGAGCTAGCCGGTGCCATAGCTCAAACTCTGACAAGCAAATAGATAATCAAGAAGACAAATGGCCTCTTTTGTGAAGCCCTGCTCCTGTATTAATTTTCATTTTCTTTCTCATAGAAAGTATCGAAAGTACGACTGGGGACCAAATAGCTTTCTGTCTCGCAGTTCCCAGTCACCCCTAGAATGGAGTGGGGGAAGGGGAAGGGGATACGGGTGACCCTCAGAAGCTCTGTCAGGCTTGGGCCGCTTTTGTAGAGCACCCAAGAGAAGTTCTAAGGCCTTGGGGCTCCAGCCTGGGGTGTCTTGTTCTGTGGTGGCCCAGGGTAGAGCCACCCGCCTCCAAAAAGCTCGGGGCTCAGGAGAGCATATGCAATTAAAAGTTGTTTTTCAGTCCCATCTCCCTTCAGAAAATAAAAAGAGTCAATTCCTCCGCATGTTTTATTGTTATTTCTTTTGTATTCTTCCGGTTTGCAGCGCCCGCCCGGGAGTTTGAGGCAGGGTAGGGCCTTAGGACAGACGGGATCGGTGTCCACAGCTCGGTGTGCACAGTTCGGGAAGGGGCGGTCGAACTGGCCGTTTAAATGCTGTGAGGAGACTCATAAAAAGTAGCCGGGACCTGGAGGATGAGAGCGGCTAGCTTTGTTTGGGTCAATCGCGGTGTGATGTTTAGCTGCCAGGGGCTGTGGCCGCCCTTAGCAGAGGGGGAAAAATACTTCTTAAAAGCATATGTCCCCCCCCCCAGGAATGCCTCTATAGAACCAAATCAAAGCTGCTCCTTGGAAGGTATGAATAGAATAAAAAAAGATTTCTATGGAGCTTAAAGTTCACAGCCATTCTGTGTAGACAAGAGCTAAGAAAAATGTGAGAATTATACAGAAAACCATTAATCACTTCTTTTCTTTAAATACGTATCCTCTCTCCTTTGTTATTATTCAACAGCAAATCTCCGCAGACCGGCTGTTGGGGGAAAAAAGTGTTAGCCGTCTCTCCCGGATCTGCGAGGGGGAAAAATTTGGAACCATAAAGTTGAAAACTTTTTTCTCTCAGTTTGGAAGAAGCCCTTCATCATGAATGGGATGCAAGGAGTTCGGGTGAGAGGAGGCGAGAGACGGAAAGGTAACAAAGCTCCTGCCTGGGCTGGAATTTTTTTTTAATCACTTTATGAGTTCTTTTTACAAGGGAAAGAAGAAACACTCTCTTGCCTCCTTTTTCTTTTTCAACGGTCTTTGTGGGGTTTTTATGGCGGGCGCTTGGTCAGGTTTGCTGCCTTTTATGATGACTGATGCGTGGGTCAGAGGGAGAGAGAGGCCTGGACACCTGGAGAGTGTTTGAACTGCTGGGGACTGAGGTGTCAGGCCCCTGAAGAACCCCAGAGAAGGTTGTTTGTGAGGCAGCTCCAAAGCGCTTTCCTGGTTTTGGAACATGCAGGCGGGCCTGGGGAGCCCCAGCATGTGTGCATGTGTGTATAGAAACGTGCACATGTGGCCAGTGTGTTCTATGGACTCCGCTTGTCTATACTAGGGGCTTGTGTCCCATATGTCTGTTTACCGGTGAGATGTTGTCACTGCCTTCTCCTGGAAAAACGGAATGCAGTTCTTGGATGTGATGCCCCAGCCTTGGAGCAGGGTATAGGGAGATGTCTTTCGATTTTTGCTTTTTGTGTCTAGCTTGGAATTCGAGACAAATACAACTCTCTGGAGCAGGAAACGGCTCCGTTCACAGGCAAGGTTCCTTAACGCAGGAATTTTCCTCTTCGACTCTGCCCCCTCTGCCTTCTTCCTGGAGGCTCAGTGCTCAGTTTTTTTTTCTCTCTCTCTTGGTTTGGGGGCTCTCTCCCCCACCTCTGGGGCCCTGCTGCTGAGGGTGAGGGAGCCAGTGGACTCTGCCTCAAACCTGAATGTGCTGGCCCTTTTTCCCTGGGGCTCACTGAGAGTTTGGAAGCAGGAGGCTGGCAGGAGAGAGTTCATGGAGAGGCCACGTTTTCTAGGCGATTAGCTCAGTATTAGAACCACAAAATGACCTCGGAAGCCCCTTGACCTCTCTGAGACTGGACATTGTGCTGGCTCTTTCGTCCTGCCCAGGAGGAAAAGCCACACCTCTGCTGGGAGGGGTCCTTGGGCCGTGGGGTGCCCATCTTGTTCATCTCTCTGTAGCCCCTAACTCCTTCTTTGCTATTTTGGAGTTTCTGGGTTGTTTTTCTATTGCTGTCTATTGGGGAGAAAAGGAATAACATTTTTAGCTTGAGTACAGCTGGGGGAGGGGAGAGGGTGCTGGTTGGTCTCTTTGTGCAGAGCTCCGTCCGTCCGTTGGTTAGGCCCTATGTCCAGTTTATCCCTCCTTCTTTCCTCTTTCGCTTGGAGGGAGTTGGGGGAAGAAAGACAAAGAGAGGCGACAGGAGAGGTCCACAGTGCTTCAGAGGGCTAGGAGAACAAACCCCTGGGTCCTAAGGAGAGAGAGAGAGAGAGAGAGAGAGAGAATTCCCCTCATGAACAGTCCCTTGGGGGCTACTGTGTCTCCAAGTCTAATAAGCAAATCCACAGCCTCTCAACCCATTTTTCTGAAGTTCCTTTGTTTGGGAAGCTATTCCTATAATCACTTACCCCCTTCCCCTAACCCTCATCCCCACCCTAGCTACTCACAGAGCCCACGGGGTACCTCCTCACCACAGGAGCAAGAGAAATGGAAGAAGGAGCAGTGCAGGGTGTTCTGACCATTCCCAGGGACAGCTCTGCCACATTAACCAAAGTTTACAGCAACTTTTAATTTTCAGAGATGGGTGGAGGTTTTGCCAAGAAGTGAACACCGAACATAGAGCCTTTCCAAATCTATATTCTGCTTGTTAAATCTTAAAAATGCACGCTAACAGCCATCCTCTTAGGAGGAGATAGAGAGATACCGAGATAGCGATAGAGATAGATGGATGGATGGATGGATGGATGGATAGATAGATAGATAGATAGATAGATAGATAGATAGATAGATAGGGACTCTCCAGCTGGGAAGAGGAAATGCTCCCTTTGGGTAAAGAGTAGGAGAGACAGAACCTTTCTGGGATGTGTTTGGGTGTTGCTTTGCATTTTGTAAATTGTCTCCTGTAACTTAGGGACTCTGTCTCAGGCAAGAAATAACTGGCATTGGTTGGTCTCCTCTCCTTTGTCCCTGGGTGGCATAATAAATGCAGGGGGTGGAGACCTCAGGAAGGAAAGGGAGTGAGCAGAAAGGTGAACTGGGCTTCTTCTGGACTGAAAACATTTGGGGCTCAGGGGAGATGTGCACCCCTTATTCATAAGGGCAGATAACTAATTATGGGCCCTCTATAGACTCAGGTAACAAAGATCTAGTCACCTGGAATTTTATAAGCTTCTTGCTGCAATGTGAGGATTAAGGGTTCACCAATGGGAAAGAAGGGGGAAACAATGGAAAGGGAAAGTTGGGGTTCATTCAAGGATTTCAGCCCCACAGGTGGGGACTTGGGGATCTCTCCTTTCCCTCACTCCCAGCCCTTTGGGCTCATCTTCTACAATTCTAGCAGCCACCCCTAGTCCTCCTAATCTTTGACCTCTCTACCCTCCAGGTCCCCGGCCCTCCCCATCTCCCTCCTACTTCCACCCGCCTGGGGCAGCCTCAGCGCCCGCGGTGGGTCTCCCTGGGAAGAGGCCAGGGAGGGGGTCTGGTTGGAAAACGGAGTGGGGAAGTTTCCCAGTGTGAGTTGAGCGCTGACGGATTTGTGATCGGCCATAAAACCGGCGCGTTCAGATTCGTAAATCAATCTCGCCTTTCTCACAGTATAAACGTTCGCTTTATCGGCAGCAAGAAAGCGCTCAGCTCGCGCTTGGCGCTTGTTTATTTGAACATGGACATTCCCAGGATCCTAAAAAAGTGTGGGCATTTTAACAGAACCTGCCCGGCATGCCTTCGTGTCATTTTGCTGTTATTTTTCTTGTCCTTAAAAATAATTTCTCAGTTTCAGAGATTGCCGCCTTCCCATGCTCCAGCATATTATATTGTCTCATTCGCTCATATATTTTTTTTAGACTTTAGTGGAGAGTTTTCTTTGGGAGACCATTTTAATAGATTTGTGGTCAGAACCTTTCAGGGAGTTGCTGGAGTCCGGCTTGGGGCCCACATTAGGAGCAGGCTGAATTCAATACTAGGCTGTGTTTTGTATCTGAACAATCAAAGCCGACCACCCCCCTACAGAGTCGAGGCCCCTCCAGCGCCCCACCTCTGCATCAGGAGCCAGATTCTGAGGCCAGGCCTGCCCAGTGCCTTCTGCATGGGCTGTGATGCCGCCACAGCTGGACCCTACCAAAGCCGACACAGGGATAGCTGTTTCTTTGGGGATTGTTAAAGCATGTGGGTCCTCAGCCTTCTCCCCATTAAGTTGTTTTTTATTCAGACCCCTCCAAACAAACCAATAACATTCATGAAGCCCCCAGTTCCCCTTCCCTAAACCACATTTGTCCTTCCCGTGTCCTGCTGCCCCCACGGCTGTGGCCGGGCTGGCCCCAGAGCTGGTGAAGATAAGACTGAGAATGTGCAGCAAGGGGCTTCTTCAGGAATGTCTTTTCCTCTCCCCTTTGTACCTCCACCCCACACTGGGGCCAAGAACTCCGATTCTGGTTGTAACTGGGCTGCTTATTCTGGGGCTGAGCTGTAGGTTTGGGGGTTTGCTTTGTTTTGTGTATATGTGAGATGAAGGCGTCTGTGTACATTTCTCTCTCTAGGCCTAGGAAACAGATTTCTCCTATCATCCCTGGTGTTCAATCCTTTAATATGCAAAACTCCCGCCATCCTTTCCCTATTGATCAGTCTCCATTGTCTGTGGATTGGAAACTAAGTATCAGGGTACTAACACCTGGGAAATAGGGACCCTGGGCTGCCAGGCTGACTTCAAAGCCTTTTTCTTCCTTTTTCCTTCCCCTCCCCTCCAGTTCAAACCTCCAGCTGTCTTCACTGGAGTTGGGGGTGAGGGGAACTGAGACAGGGTAGAGAGACATAGGTAGAGAGAGGCTGAGTGTCCACTTCTTTTGTGTAGAAACCTTAGGCCGGGCTTTGTCTCTAGAGCGTATTCTCAACCGGTCAGTAGAATTTGGTTCCCTGTAATAGTAACACCACAAATGAAAAAAGTCCCCCTTGTGGTTATTCTCAACTCTGAAAGTCCCAGAGTCACCTCTTCACCCTGTCCTTTTTCTGTACTTTCAAAAGGTACCATAAAAAATATCAAATAGGGAATGAAAGCCAGAAACCCTAATATATATATATATATATATATATATATATATATATATATATATATATATATTGGACGTATGAAGTGTTTCTTTTGAAGCTGGTCCCTTTAGAAATTTTGTTGATTATTTAGGAAGAGGGGGAGTGGGTTCCACTAAAATCAGTATCTAAGAGCGAGGGAGAGAATGGAGTAGAGGGAATCTTAATCTTAAAGGATGCAGAGAGAAGAGCTGGAAGCTGAGAAATCCAGGGGCTTGGAGAAGGGCTCGCGCCCACCCCACCCCCACCCCAGACGCCCCTGCAGACTATTTCTGCACCTCCACGAACTAAGCAGAAGCAAGAGGAGAAGGGAGAGAGGAGAGGTGGGCTGTGTGGGTAAGTGTGTGTCTGGGGGGGGCGGTTAGGGGGCTGTAGATAGAGTAGGTATAGATGTGAATCTGGGAGAAAGAAGAACTCACTACTATTCCATTGGTGGGTTGTGGGGGAACCCACCTATTTTGCAGGAAAATTTCTCCTCCTGAAGGGGAAGGTCATAGTGGTCCTTTGAGCCTGAAATCGAAAGACCCCCTTCCCCCTCCTGGTCACGTGATTCATTAAATAATTAATGCCGAGGTTGCAGAATAGATATGTATTCGTCAGGAAAATCACAGGCTCGGTCTCCCTGTTTCTGACGTGCAATTCAACTGTCCTTTGAAAAACAAGCCTGTACCCCGAGAAAAAAAAAAGAGAGAGGGGGAGAGAGAGGGAGAAAGAGAGAAAAAGAGAGGGAGGCAGCAATAAAACAACCCCGCAGCCGGAGCCACACCGCGGGCTGGGGTATTGTAAGTAGAAGGGATTTCTCACTACCTACCGCGTCTTATATGTCCATGTAAATTTATTGTTTG